ATATATGTATACTAAAATAACTGTGTGTGTGTCCCTGAAAAGTAGAAAGTGTAATAGGAAGCTGGGCAGCTGTTCAAGACAGGAGGCACTGCTAGAAGTCTTTGTTAAAAAAAATGGTACTTGGAGGAAGTGCAGTGCCAAACTGGGCAATATCATTGTATTGATAGGAATTTCAAAATAAGGTTATAATGTTTATAACCTGTTCAATATTTTAGTTAGCCATCAGTATAGAGATACAAACAGCTTCAATGTCTATTAGTGGGCATCTGCATCCCAAATGTGAAAAGATATTACACAAAATCCTAGCACAGCACAAACCAACAAGCAATCATTGATGCAATCCTTAAACAAATAACCTTCCAAGTTTTGCTTTACAATAAAAATGTATAATGGCTCCATGCCAGAGCCTATATTCTAAGGAAAAAAGGCTATCACTAGTATAAATGAAGAAGGCAGTTTGATTTGTGGTTACAACAGTTTTCATTCTATTTCCACTGTAACAAATGTATTAATTCAGCTCAGACTTCCACCTTCTGGCAGCCTCATTACTGTAAAAAGGGAAATTAAGGGATGGAGCCAAATACCATACCTTGAATTGACCCACTTTAATACATAAACAGTTATAGTACTTGTTTATTCAGGTGTTTAGTACTTTAAATTGGTTTAAGATGTTTCCAATGACACAATAATGTGATTTTAGTAACTTTTGTCATTTTATATGAGGCAGTTTTGGTATTTTTTGGATTCAGGATAGCATAATGTGTCCACAATACTCGAACCTGCATATTTTTGCAAAGAGATTATGTATATCTGTTACAAACACTTTGTATAAAATATGCATTTAAATTTGTTTTTCAGGTATGTCAAAATAATTGTACACATACATCCATTAGTTAATTAATTTTACAATACATTTGAAGTAAAGAATACGAAATGTAACAAGACTTAGACCCTGTTCACACCGGGGCAGTTCGGCCACACGGATCCGCCGACAAGAACGATCCCATACATTGCTATGGGGACCGTTCATGTGACCACGCAGGTCCGCGCGATCCGAATCTGCCCCCCGCCCGAACTGCTCCCTGCATTATTTTTGCCGCGTTGATTAGTGCAGTTTCCATACAGGTTTCAATGGAACTGTGCTGATCAGCGCGGTTTTGGGCATTTTTAATTGCGTTTCAGCACTGAAACGCAATAAAAAACTCCCAAAACCTCCCTTTTGAGATCAGCGCGGTTATCCGCAACTGCCCTGGTGTGTATGGGCTCTAAGATTTCCATTGATTGTTTTATTATTGTAGGCTATCTTCACATGAAGCTCAGCTGTAAAGTATTTTTCTATAGTATAACAATATGTGAAATACTGTTTTTTGAAACACACAGAAGTTGCAGATTTTCTTGGCACACTACTATGAGATTGACAAAAAAGTCAGGTGGGCCAGAAATATTCTGCCAATTCTCATTTGTTATCTTTTTAGAGGAAAGTGATAGGACATACAAGGTGTAGCTCATCTGACATTTGTCAGGGCTTGATGGGCAAATGCAGCTTGCATTTAGGTGCATTCAGCTTACATTTGATATCAAGTTTAATACCTTTGAGGTAATTTCAAATTTATTGACAGGTGCATTTGACCTGCAGTTGAGCTCCTTCTGACCTGCAGTTGATCTCCTTCTATACTGCATAAACCTGCTTCAAGCCACTTTATGTTCACATAGGCTTATATGAGGAGAAAAGCAATTGTGATGTGAACAAAAACCTGGCAACATAGGCCATACAATGTAAGTGCACTTTACGTAGAAGTCTAATAACCCACCCTCCTTAGGCCTCTTGACGTAGACTAGAGTATGCATTGTTTCTTCTAGATTCTCCACATAGCATTAGTTATACATATGTGTATATAACATTTTGCATTGTTTTATTTTCTTTAGACTTTTTTTTGGAAAGAGGGGGCGTGGCTTGCTGGCGCGCTGCATGGACGCTTCTTGCTAGAGCTCCGTGCGGCGACGGGCCT